TGTAATTTATTTAATGGACTATAAAGACAATTTTTAGCTTCCATTGACAGACAACAGGTGCTTATGTTGTGGTGATGCTACCATACTGTCTGTCTGTGCTGCAAATTAGTAAATGCGATATCTCAAGAATCAGTGATCAGAATCAGATGAAACTGAGCAGTAATTTTCTATGGGATAATTGCAAGATCTGATTAGGTTTTAGTAACAATTCATTAATAATTAATAATAAATAATTTGCATATGAATGGAATTCCTGTATCATTGATATTACAAAAACCAGATTCACATGAAACTTAACAGTCGTATACTATGGAACAATTGCAAGAATTTTAAGCACTGCTGATAAAATGTGCATAATAATTAGGCATAATTACTATCTAAATTGAATTCTTGTTGACACTGTTCAATAGATATTGCCCTTGATGAAAGTTTTAATGAGTGTCAGAAATAATATTATCAGTTGTAAGCCAGTTCTGAAATTTAGCTTGGTTTCTTTCTTTACTGGAATTTGGAAAAATGTTATAAGAGAATTCATGCTTAAGTTTTTTTTTTGTTCCCAGCACCCTTTGCGCATTTTTTACATATGCACATAGGTTTGAAAATTGGCAGAATTCTGTTTATCGACTTATACTAAAGCTATATTTACTGGATTTGTCAAATTTTGAGCTCAAAAAAGTATCTATTGAAATATATAAAACATAATCGAACAAATGTTTCCCACTGCAATGTTACAGAATTATTTGTGGCCTCTGATTGTGCGACCCGTGTTTTCAATACAACCATGAGTTTGCAATGTGTTACTGTACATAATTGTAATAGTGTATAGAACCTGACATGTTAATGTGGTTTATAGATGTACATGTAAATTTAAAATTTGCTATTGGTTTTCCATCAACAGCGGCACAGTCAGGTGGGAGAAAACTGACAATACAATTTGACAGCTAACTACTTTGATGTATTGTTGATTCATCTTTTGACCGTGGAATATTTCTTGTATGTATATTTTTATGGTGTTTCTGAATATTCACTGCTGATAAACTCATTTCACTGCTGATAATATCTGATATTTTTATTGGTGCATATTTGTGTGTGAGTTATCCAAATACATGTAAAGTGAACTCATATCACCATTATCTCTTTGCATATCATTCACAAGTATATTTTCATTGACCTGCGTAATTTTTACACCCCTTACCAGACATTTTGTTTATTAATTGGCACCCAGCCAATTGACACAATTCACAATTGACCTTTGCACAAGGCTCTCCTGATATCAATAATGTGAAATTGTTTTGTGTTTTTCTTTTGGTGACTGTTAGTCAAAATAAGGTGTTTTCATTTTATTTGTGCATGTTATATCAGCAAAATTAGTTAGATTATTTCTTCTTCAAATTTCCCATCTCTTTTTTTTTAATGTTTTTTTTTTTTTAATTTAAAAATAATTTTTGTTCATATCAGTCACTAAGTAAGGAATTAATCTGATGAATAATTTGCTTAATTCCAATATTCACTGATTCCTTCTTCCACTGATCTACCGGTATATCTTTTAGCCCAAATAAGAGCACTTCTAGAATTTCTAGTTGTCATTTACGTAAGCGCATACGCTTTCAATTGAGCAATTTCGCAAAAGGTCAGGAAATAGAATTGTGGTACATTGTATGATGCAGAGAACTATACTAGCCAATCATTTCCCATACATGTATTACGGTAACGTAGTTCACAAGGTACTATATTACATACATGACAATCAAATTAGTCCTGAGAACTGATTCTTATCTGTGGCTATTGCTTAAAGTGAAAACTCAAGCTAATGTATATAAACATTTCCTATAGTTTCTAAAATCACTGAAAATATCAGATTACATAGATATTCAAAATTGAAAAAAAAAAAAACTTACTTGTTACCCACATCGTGTCCCGATATTCTGTTTGAATCTACAATTGTAAATGATCCAATTCCTGGCAGAACTAAATTCTTCAATATTTCAGTGCCAGTGGCTGTGGCATTGACAAGACATATTTTAGCTGTTTCTAGGGCTGCTTGGCCATGGTCTCCCCATAACCTGAAAAAAAGTTTTATAATTTATTGCAAGTATGATTAGCCTCTTCCATGTGATGCATCCCACTGGATATTTTCCTAACCTCACTGTTGAGATCCAACACCCTATTGATAATCTAATTGCCTTACCAAGTAATTATGACATCACCTTGATAACATAAAAATTAAATATAGATATAATGGTGCAGTATCATTTTTGTGTTTACATTTATCATGTATTATATTCTATTAAAGCGGTAGGGTTGTCATCTGTGCACATGCAGGAATTGAGTCCCAAGCGATGATAACAACACACGCTAAAAACGCAAAGGCGCATGGGTAGACGTTTGTTTTTAAACAATGACACGCTATGGCCATCTGACGCATGCGCAGGTGACGACTCTCTCCCTTTAATTATTATTCTACTGACATCTAATTACCCATGGAAACCAGTGCATGTGACTAGTACACTCACAGTACATTAACAATATCCCACAAATCTTACAAAGCAGAATACACAATGTACATCACTAATTTAACACTTTTACCAAATGTTCTTAATCTTTGTGACAAAAAGCTGCAAAACATATTTGCTATATTAGAAGTTCGACTCAACAGAAGAGTATGTAAATTAATATGATATTTAAAATATGACGTAATTTGACCACAGACACATCATTGTCATTTACATATTTTTAGTGATACCAGTACTAATGCAATGTGAAGGAATTTGTTTAGTGTCTTTGTTTTCATGC